ACAAGAATTAGAGGTACTTATTTGTCCATATTCCTATTATTATGTGCTGCAAAAAAAGTTTGTAAATCTTAGAGACAGAATTTTCAAAAACAAATTTTGAAAAGCCATTCTCAGTTTTACACATAACAAATTTCATTTGCAAAGAAGCGAAGCAGTATTATTGTGTCCTTGATTTTACCCAGTGCTGCTTTTAAAAACAATTTAAATGTTATGAATAGGCTTGAAAATACAAGATACCATCTGGTCACACCAGTTGCCTGAACAAGAATATAGGTTCACTAGAATCAGTCGCCTGGTCTGGGCAAGGGTCATGAGATGATGTATTGTTTATAGGCACCTAGTGGCATGTACCAAAACAAAAGGGCTGACATGATTATTTTATTCACTGGTAGTCATTGTCTTGGAGCAAAGGAAGGAAGCTGCATCTAACATAAGGAGTAACGGGTGGCAGAACAGCCTGTTATTGCAGCAGAAGGGACACCATGGTGGCAACCAGTGAGAAAGGAAAGCTGTGATACTGGCTGGACTAGAAATCAGCTTGGTGGGGGAGTCTGACAAAGGCCATATTTTAAAAAAATAAATGCAAATAACACAGACAACCAACTCTATTCTTCTCCATTGTTGAAAGCTGCATTAGCATATGCACAAGTTTAATTGGTGCTTGCAAACAGTGTCTACCCGTTCAAAATGTTCCTGAAAAAGTGGGACAGCAATCCTAGGATGTGCTGAATAGAGGCTGCAGATTAGAAAAGGAGCTGTGCTAGAAAAGACCCTCCAGAGAGCAAAGCAATGGGCATCAACAGCAGAGCTGCTTTATAACCCAAAATGAATGTGAAAAATATGGGAGTCCTGTAAGGTCCCTGGTAAGATCCCCTTAAAACCTTTAGTTACAGCTTTGCTTATAGGTCTTTAGTTATAGGGCTTGTTACAACAGAGCTGTTTTTCACAGCTTTGGATGTAACTTTTGCCTCTGGTCAAAACTCACCCCAAAACTGCTCTAAACCTTATGAGTTTTAATCCCTTCAGTCTCTGCATTTTCTGGCTCGCCTGCATTCTGCCCTCCCTGGAAGGCAGGTGTGCAACCAACCTGCACCTCAACCGGTGGCCTCATTGCCCCATGGAGGACCTGCTGCAGCTCAAGAGAGGGGTTGCTCATGACAAGAGCTGGTGGCAGAGCGGACTCATTTGCCGCAGATGGATCTGGCACCGCTGCAGGGGTTCTTCAGGTTTAAAGCACAAGGAGAGAGACCTGAGGTCAAAGTAACACTGGGAAAGTATCTAACAGAGAGCAGAGAGGGATACAGAGGAGCAAAAAGAAAAGGATATTCCCATATTTACTGAGAGAGAGGCTGTAGGAGAAAGATACCTGTAGGGCAGGGGTCTGGTAGGAGAGACTCAAGGAGCTGGAAAGAAGGAACCAGGGACAAGTGAAAAAAAAGCATGGGAAAACAAAAGGCTTGAGGTCCATAAAAATGCAGGAAAGAAAGAAAAAAACCCTGGGGGCATGAGAGAGCAAAAGAAATGCTTTAAAGAATGAAAAACCAGGCAAGTAAATCATCAACATTCCTATGTTATTCAGAGCATTAATCTCTCAAGAAAACCTGGCTGAAGAGGAATTCCAGATCATTGTACCTCAGATAGCATCCTAAAATGGGAAAGCTGCATAATTACACTTAGTTATTTCTGCTTTTAGGGAAGAATTTGGATATGAGACCTAGTTCCCCATTTCTTTTCTGATGAAACTTTGTTTCAGGTAGAAATATATAAGATGATATGATGTAATATAATCTATTTTAAAATGTCATGCAAGCAAATAAACATAATGAGTAGTTGGTGGCAATTTAAGACAATTTCTTAAATGCTTCCAGTGCTTTTCATCAGGAATCACACAGGTTTGACCTCATGTTGCAAGCAATAAAATACTCAGTGCTATTTGCTATTCAAGCTGCATATTAGCTTTTCCCTCCTTCAGTTGGGTATCTTTCTAAAACCTCAGTAGCTTGTCTGAAATCCAGTGAAATAGAAATAGGTGAGTTTCCACTGTCTCTAATGGGCATTGCATCAGGCCCTGTGGCCTGTAGGGTCAAATTATAATTGCTATTTTAACAACTGCAATGGCCATTTCAGTCATTCTGAAGAACTCAGTCACCTTTTTAAAAAAGTGATAAAATGAGGAACTGTTGGTGCAGTTTTATAAACAAGCTGTCTCCATATCCCCTTTTTCATTTGCAGAGAAGCTAAGAAAATATAGACATTCCCACACAGTATGGGAACTGATATGCCTCCGACTCTCTTGACATGCCACAGTGATTTAATTTAATTCCCAAATAAAAGGGGAGTAAATCTATCACTGTGCAGAGATCAGAAAAGCACATTATAATACGCATATTCTATTGCTGAAATGAGTAGATAATAATAAACTTGGCCATTCGGCTTCCTCCTCCTATCTTCACCTTTGCTTTAATCCATTGCTTTTAAACTGCTCAAGCTCATTCCTGTCCCTTGCTTAATTTCACTTGCATGTTTGTTCACAGTCCCCAGAGTTAAAACCTATTATAGCAGTTTTGTTGGATACAATGTAGAGGCAGGCGAAGAGAAAGTTCCTTAATATTGGAAAGATGGAAAAAGTAATCCTTTTCCTCCTGAGCCTAAAACTTAGAATAGCAGCTCAGGATAAAAGTTCAGGCATTAAATATGGTCTGTTGAGGAAGTCAATAGCTGTGATGGGCTCACTTGGTAGAAATATGTATAACCAGCTTGATGGTCTCCATAGTACTGAATGGTACTTGCAAGACCATGAAATGAAAAAGACAGAACCCAAGGAGGTAAATGGACAAAAATACAAAGGGAGCCCGTTGCAGCCTGCAGCAAGCAGATGCAACTCCCAGGGAAGTCTGTGCCTGATATAAATGGGCTGGACATTACACGGGGGAATAAGTTGGCCAGAGAATAGATGCGAGAGGCAAATTTGTATAACTCAGACTAGCTGGACATTGCACATATGGGCAAAGTGGATGTGTCAGGGTTGCGAAGTACATGGGAAGTTGGATGAGGTATGAGAATCAAATAACAGGAAGGCATAAAATAAAAGAACTTCCCTCATTTAACAGTTTCCCAGATTTCCAGAGTACTCTGGTAGCTAAATTCAACACCCTCTGAGTGGGTGCTGAGCCTACAGAGGCTAGTGATTTTCCTGCATTTGTTTTCCACAGAAAGCAGAGTGAGGCTTGATTAGCACACATGCGAGGATGACAAAGGAATGGAAATTATATTATTTTGCTGATTTCAACCTTTCTGTGTTGACCTCAGGAGAAAAATAAACCACTGTTTATACTGTTGGTGAAGCTGGGCTCCTATGAGCCATCCATAACACTGACCACTACAAGTTTGTTATTCATGGCCAATCTGTTCATTATTGAACTGGTTTTAGACTGCCTTTGATAGCACCACAACTCTGAAACTTTTGTGCATGGCACCCATGAAAAACACAACAGAGTGTGGGGGGGTTGTAGTTTTTTAGGAGTTTTACACACTGTATATCGTGTAAGCCGCAGTGACCACCAGATCCCCTGATGGAGGGACATAGTCCAGGTGTGCAGAAAAGAAACAAGTGATAATGCAGTGCTTTCCCTTTGGTCTTTGGTCCTTTCTCTTGTCCTGCTGTCCCTTTCCAGTAACCTCCAGAAGAACTGTTGAGTGTTTTCACCTCTGTACTCTGGAGCTCTGCAAAACCCCTCTCATCAACATCCTATTGGCTTCCTTGAAGGAAGGTAGCACACTTCAAAATCCTGTTTGCAGGGCATAATGATTTGACAACTACTTCTTCTTTTTTTTTTTTTTTTCTTTTCACTAAGCTGTTGTTCCTTTGTCAAACTCACCACTGTGGGTTTGGAGTTGAAAGCTGGTAAATTTAAGGGATAAGACAACAATTCTCTGGTCACCTGTTGGGTAGGGAGCCTAACTGGACATATATTTTGCATTTCATTTTTATACCTGCTTAGAATCACTGAGCTTGTTGTGACTAATGTAATGTCAAGGACCAAATGTAATCCATGCATTCATGGATGTCCCCTTTTCCTATGATGGTGAGGAAGGGGGGTGGCTAGGTCTTTTCTTTAAGGACCATGGTAAGGCAAACACAACAGACAGCCTATTTGGACTTGCTGATTATTGTCCACATAGCAATCAGACAGCAGTAATAGTTGTATTTAGAAAAGCTAATATTCAGTTTACCTTTTTTACTGAATGTCAGCTTCAAGGGGTTTTTATTCTATTTTTTAAAAAAATAAATCTTAAATCCTAGAATGCATGAAACAGCCATGATTTACACAACAAAGGCTGGATAACTGCATATAAAACACGAGCATGTTTATATGCGTGCTACATGTGCAGGTACTCAAATATCAGGGACATGTGCATGTGCATCTGTAAATTCAGCCATTTTCTTTAACTCATACAAGCAAAATGCTGCTTTAATGCAACATTTCTACTGAAACATAAAGAGAAGAAGCCAAAAAGTCAGAAGTTATAAATCTGTCAGCAAATATGTCTCAGTTCCTCCTGTATGCATTTATTATTACATAATCTATTCATACTCCTGCCAAGTTGCATACATGCGATGTGGCCAGCGGACAGAGGCTGCAGTTATGCAAATGGATTTATCATCTCACAAGGACACACCTGAACAGGAAAGGTGGAAGAACACATGGATATGGAGCAAACTACAGAAAGGTCGCAGTCTTAATCATAACCATTATAGTTTTGAACATACCATGCCTATTACGACACACTGTCTTTGAGAGTCTCAAGGTACCAAAGATTTTACTTTTACCTTAACAAACCATCCTCCTTTACAATTAGTTGAGAATTACCACCCTATGTATTTTCTGGACATGAGGCACAGGGGTGTAGAATGGATGGTTTTGGTGTTGAAGAGAGGTCTCAGAGAAAGACAAGCAATACATCATCTAACAGAACAACGAGAGTCTAATCCTCAGCTCCGGGGGTCTGTGCTGGGGTTTTGATTCAGTAAGGCACTGATTTCTAGCTTACATGAAAATGCTAACGTGTAAAAAAAATACAGATAAATCTGCAGTGATGTCATTGGCCAAAGACACCAAGTCAAAGACATGCTGGTAAAACATAGAAGGAATACACCAACTTCTCTTACCATTTTCCCAATCATCATAACATATGGTCCCAAATACTTGTTTACTCCAAAGATGTCTAATAACCGTATATACCAGTAAATAATGTTAACACAGTATATCACTCGGCCATCGCTCCGGAGTGGCAGATCTTGCAGACGGAGCACCATCCCGACGGAGAACAGGAGGATAGCTATGAGATCAGTAACGTTCCAGTACTCCTGGAGCCAAACTTTTACTTTCTGTAACAGTTTCCCAGGCTCTGACATCAATATCTGAAGGACACAGGACAAGGAGAGGAAAGGAGCTGAGTTGTCTTAATTTAAGCTTGAAGAAATCTATAGTAAACAGATATATGCCATGAAGGCCAAAAGCAAAGCTGATGTACTCCTATCATACAAATATTGCATGTACTCTCTGATTTTTTTGAGAAATCTTCCATTTCAACCAGTCTTAGCCTGTATCTATGTGCAAGATACTTAAAAGACAAAGGACGAAACCCCACATGCTCTAAAATCCCCATGAAATCATAAGAAATGTATGTATTTCTTTTTGTTTTTCAAATTTATTGACCCCACTTATAGTCTTGGAATACAGGGAGAAACATAGAAAGATATTTCCTCAGAAAACTCACATTTAAAGAAGCTGTAAATTTCAAGAAAATTATTCTAAAATTTGTATCAAACTGTCAAGAAATAATTAATAATAATAAGATCTGGATTTCACATTTAATCCAGAGAGATACTAGCTACTAGTTGGACCTGGTTTTGGAAACTAAGTTCCACAGCTGAGAATATAATTCACAAAAATAATTAATCTTACCTTATGAATTTATCGTCATTCTATCTGCAAGATCATCTGGGAGACTTGATTGTTTCCCTGAATTACTCTTGAAACTATTCCTCAAGTGATATCTATGAATAATTCCTAGCTTTTAGTGAGTTAACAAGCTGTTTGTTTTAATTTTCTATATTTAGCCTGAGAACATTTGAGCAGGCTCATACAGTTCCTTAAAAAGATGAATGCCATTCTTATAATTTTCTTATAATTCATTTTCAGAATGAATTTTAGGCTCATCTTCTGTGAACAATCTCTAACATCTGCTTAGAAATCCATTCCGACAAATGTTCTTGATAAACTTTTGTGGAAAGGACAATTTGGGGCAAATGATTAGACAAAAATGGCACACACGGTTCCTGCCAGCAGCCTCCCACCTACTGAGCCAGCAGTGCTTTGTCCCCATCAGTGTTGCAGAGTCCTCATGTGGCCATTGCCACTGTTTTCCTTTTTCTTTTGTTTAGTGAAGAACACTCATTACAGACCACACAAATAGTGTCTTTTCCTCTGTTCTTTTTATTTATAATGTAGAATTAGCTGTACAGAGTTTGACATCTGTCTTTGAAGTCTAAGTGGCTTTTGCAAGACCATTTTTAGTCTAGTCCTCAAAAGCAGTTGCTGCAGAAAATACAAATGTAGATGGTAACAATTCAGCCCAGGGGTACAAATGTGCTGTTTCAGCTGAGGTCAACGGGGCTCACGCCCACTCACATCAGGGCTGAATTTGGCCTCTGGTGTCATTGTGGAATAAATGCACATTTGGCCAAGTGAAAAGGGCACAGCGGTAGCTGCAAGTGGGAGACACTATGAGGGGCAGGGGATGGCAGAACAACTTCACCCTGCCTGCAGACTGAGCGCCACCTTAAATGCTCTGTCTCTGCTCTCTGTGTCTGCTTTAGCATCTTTAGGGAGATGCATGCTATTGCTTGACATAATTAGCAAAAATTTTCAAGATTAAAAAGGGGAAATCCTATTAGGAATGTGCTGCAATATTCAATGTGGATCTAAATTTCCTCACAGTTATAGCTGGTTTTATTTCAAACCTTTGCATGAAATACTTGGCCAGACAATATCTGTAAATTTTGAATGAACTCTATTTGGGGTGGGGTGGGGAATTGACCACGGGCTTTTCAGTTGTCCCGCTGTCACCACATCTCTGTGTTCATTCTGTTATAGTGTATCTCCTTTTCTTCTCCCTGAAACACTAGTTTCTGGGCCACATTTCAAGAAGTATAGCTGAGCTTTAATATATGTCAGAAGACTGCCCCATACTTGTGAATGCTATTAAGTGTGCATCACACAGAAAACTGAACAGAGAAATTCTGTGGGAGGAAGGCAGAAAGATTCTTGATTTTAAAACGGAGGAAGATAGATTTTTTAGTGCTGTGATTTTACCTCTCTCATCTTCTCTATTCCCAGAGTGAAAATGTACGAGATGACAATCCATTCCTGTGTAGATGGCCAGCGATCCATCTTCACTAACACTATATAATTGAACAGCATCAAGTAGCCTATATATGCCAGCTGTAAAGAAACAAGATGAGTATCAATAGTCACTATATTTATATGACTGAGCCAGTTCCTTGGGTATGATTTAACATTCCTAATTCCACCGTAGCCAGAGTTAGACAGAAGAACAATCAAACGGTGTTCTGGGTTTTCTGAAAAAGCTCCTGCTAAATCATATACAGTGTGGAATCTGCAAAATACATGCACAGATGTCCTCTCCTCCAGCTACATTTGCCTCCCCAACAAACTGTATTAATGCAGTCCCCCTGGATCACCCCACAGCGATAGGAACTCTGATGCCACTATGCCAACTACCAAACTAAGTTACCTATGTGAAGATTTCTCCTTCATCTGCTTCTAACACCCTTTACTCCTCTAACACCTGTGCCCTCTGTGTTTTTTCTCTCTGTTCACCCAGCCTAGGCTGACTCTGGCATTCCAAATCCTTTTTGCACAATCCTTGCCTGGCTCCCAGAAGGTCCTAGTTGTTGCTAGAGGTCTTCCTACCCAGTGTAGTACTGACCTAACCCATGCCATAATTCCTCCCCAAAATGCTGCTACTTCTACTTAGATTGCTGCAGCAAGTAGCCAGGCATATCCATGCATTCATTTGCCTTACATTTTTTGCAAGTTTTTATACATAACTGTTTTGCTTTTCCTTCTCTAATATATCTACCTTCTGGCCTAATTATTGACAAAGTGGAAAGTGTGGATTGTGGTTTTAGTTTCTTTTTCCTTTCTTTCTACATGCTGAACGTAATGAAATTGTCAGTCAAAAAAAAGACAAGATAGGCAAATTGTATCATCAAGTTCATAAAACGCAGAGAAACCCAAGTGCCACACTGTAGCATGGGCTGTAGCAAGGATGCATGGCTGTGGCTGGGGTCTGTGGTGGCCAGAATCCAACTGCCTGTCTACTTGCCTTTCAAACAGCAGCCCTACAAGAAAATGCTTCTTAAGCCAACTTTAAATCAGAGAAAAGATGATTCAGTTCTGTGCATGAACATTTTAGTCATTGTGGCAGAAAGCTTATTCCATACATCTGTATTTCAATACAGTTTCTCTCTCTCAACTGCATGTTACTCACAACTATTGTGTACTTGGTGTCAGACTTAACATGAAACAACCACAGAGGGGCTTGAGACTTTCGGGTAGGATTATTTCAGTGTTCAGCATATCACAGAACAGGATTTATAGTCTTATTGTATTTGTTTGAGAATGTAACTTCTGCTCTGTGTAGAAACCACAGGGTTCTGGCTTTTCTTCCAGTTGTTGGTTTGAAGGACACTCAAGACAATTCTTTATGTTGGCCATAACTATCAGTACAGAGAAGACAGCCAGTTGAACCACTGCTTCTTGTCTACATAAAACAGAGGAGGAAATAATCTCATTTATACTTCAGTTTGTGCGTGATGATGGATTGCAACACTCAGGTCTAGAGATTGGTCTTCCCTTAACACTCCTAAAGGAAATGGAGAGCAATATTGACTTATATCAGCATCTAGAGTGTCAGCTGAGTCAGTAAAAACTATCTGGCCAGGCAGAACTGGACACACACCTCCCTAGCTGAAATAACACCTTCTAGTACAGTTCAAAAAGCCTGGTGATACTGTCACCGAACACCCCTCCTCTTAGATCTTATTGGTTATTAATTATCAGTGAATCTTATTAATTTGGTCTGACTCAGCAGTCTTTGGTGAGCACTTGCAGTTAGCGTGGCAAGAGAATAGGGACATTAAGGTTACAAAGGTGACAGAAACCACAAGATCCTCAGTGTAACTAGGGACTTTTGCTTCTTCTTGGTTTTCTTTTGAGATGTTGGGGTTGTTTGGTTTGAGTTTTTTGCCAATCCAAATTTGCTGAAAATTGCTGATAATTTTTGCTTGGCAAAAAAAAAAAAAAAAAAGAAAAAGAAAAAAAATCTTGATTTAAGAATAAGGTGATGCTGAAACCACACCACGTGAACCCAAGACACAAGCCTTTCAGACAGTGAGTGACACCCTCCTTCTCCCTCCCCACACCTGTAACTTGTTCCTGCCTTTCAGGATGATGTCCTGATCCCACACTGTGGTCAAACCTCAGTCCATCTGCCCATGCTGGTACTCAAGATTCTTTGAAAGTGCTGCTACACAAGAAGCTGAACCTATTTTCTTGTTTTTACATGGCTTGACAAAGAGCTAGGCGCTGCCATTTTTCCTCTTGAGGGCAGTACCTCAAGAAACTAAGGAAAGGAATGCCTGCTAAGAAGTTTCTAGTCTGGGTTGCTCCCTGCCCTCCTATGGTTGCTGTCCCTTTCTATAGAAAATATTCAAATACTCATTATGGTAAGGGACAAACCTGGAAATTGTACCAGCAGGGAAGTGCTTCAACTGGGAGACTACCCTCCCTGTTTCTCACGGATTGCAATAATTAATTGATCATAAAATGGAGTGGTCCCAAAATGCAAAATTTAGGGCAAGGCCGTTTTGGTGTTTTGAAGATGACTCTTACTCAGGGTTCAATTCCCTCTGCAGCTATTGCTCCTCAGAAGAGGTAGCAATGTGGCCTCTTACATCCTGCTAGCATCTCAGCCTAAAGCCAGTAGTTAAAAGAGAAAGGCCACCCTCTTCTCCTCAAGCAATCTGTGAGATGAAACCTTTGAGTTATGGTTTTCAGTGCAACAACCACAAAGCAGAAGAGAGTAGTTGACTTTTGAAACTGCTGCATGTCCAGAGAGAAAGGCTAAAGTTTTTCTTTTGCTTGAGAAAAAGGTTTATTTTGGATCATCTGCTGATCCGGTATGTTACTTACTCAAACATCCCCATATTCAATCCACTCTTTTGTATTTTAAGAATGAGGGTGGACATAGCTATAGAGTAATAGCAGATAAGTAGACACAGAATATTCAAGCTATTTTAAATGGCATACAATAGCCATAAGTATTGTCACTTTTCTTGCATTTTGTACTGTGGAATAGAAAATTTGGGGGATTTCTTTTGAAATCTATGATCAGCATTTCTGCCTGTGTGTTTGTGAAAAGTGTGATAGGCCGTGCAATTTTAACCCTCATCTGAAAGCTTTTAGTCTCCAGCAGTTTCTCAGTATACCCAACTGGTCAAGCACTGCAGCCAGACTCCACCTTGATTTGTTCTTCAAGCTCAGTGTAGCCAAGATCCAGCTTTAATAAGTGACCTTGACTGAGACCTGCCCCAGGACATAGAACTGTAGGAACAGGTTTAAATGAAAGTGCAATATTGATCTTTTTCTCCCATTTCAGAATTGAACGAAGAGGGAGGGCCAGGATGCTTCTTTCTGTTTACAGTATAAAGACTTTTTTGGTTATGCATAATACATATTGCAATTGATAATGAAACTAGGCTGCTGATGAGCAGTTTCTAGACTCATCAGCCTGATTAATGTTCAATGGCCACACAGTTCAGCAAGTAGTTACTCTGAGTTGCCAAACTGGAGCTATTTGCTAGCATAAGCTGTCCACCACAGTTTAGTCGCTCTTAATGTGAGTTGGTTTTGCTCTCTGTAAACGCATTGCCTGAATATGAGCAAGGCAATTTTTCTTATAAGAAGTCATCTACAGAAGGATGCATTCTTTATGATTTGCTGTGCATTCAGCAGAATGATGGAAAATATAACTGGGAAGAACGACCTGAAATCATCTGGCCAATTCCATGGTGCTGAGGCAGGATTAATTACAGTGTACCGTAATGGACGTATGTTTTGGTAAGATAAACTAGTAGTGGAAAATCTACCATCTCCTTACGCAGTTTATGACAGTACTTCTCAGAGCAGTTTGAAACTGTTTCCTAACATCTTATCCAGAACTGCCTTGCTGCAACTGAAACCATTACTTCTTGTTCTATTTAGCAAGGATTTGGAGATTATTCCATTTTGTTCCCCTCTGCAGCTACTTGCACATATTTGAAGACTATTACATTCTTATGCAGACTTCTTTTTTTTTTTTTCCAGAGAAAACAGCCTCACTTCCTTAAATCTTTCCCCTTAAGTCATGTTTTACAGACCTCTTGAAACATTTTTCTTGTTCTTTTTTGTGTCCTTGAAACCAGTCCATACTTGTCACACAATGCATGAAGCTGAACTGGGATAGAATATTCCAGCCAAGGGGACTGAAGGGATTACTTCCTGTGTTCATTTTACTTTTTGATCTCATCCTTCTACATTCCAGTGCAATTTGCAAATTTAATAGCTAATCTCTACTTCACCATCCAAGTTTTGAATGAAAATATCAGATAGGACCTGATGTAGGAGAGACCCTAATGGAATCCTTTCTGATCCCTGCTTCCAGCTTGATAGTGAATTACTAATACCTATTCTTGAGGACTAATTGTCAAAAAGCTTTGTATCCACATAGTAACTTTAATATAGCAGTTATTAATTTATCTCTGAGATTACCGTGTAAATTTTTTATACTGTCTTACTTTAGTCAAAATACATGACAATTTATTTTGTACTTCATCTACAAGGTCTGTTTCTTTATAACACAAGGAGATTATACTGGTTTGACATAATTTGTCCCTGAGAATCGTACCTTAGCTGCTACTCATGCCTTTGCTATCTTGTGGGTACTTACACAAACACTTTCTCTGAGAGACACTGCAGACTAGTCAAAACAGAATGAAGAAAAAATGTTCCAAGAAAAGATGTGCTATATCTGCTTCTTTTTTTCATCAACTATTATACAATCCGATATCCTGATTCAGCCCAGCCTCCCATTGGGCTTCCTACTGGGAGCTCTCCTATTGGGAATTCTCCTATAGGGAATTCCTTGGGAGCACTGACTGCATCAGACTGCCACTTATTGTTGTATTTGAAGAAAAGCATGCACAGTCATTCAAATTTTAACCCCTAACATCCTGAATGAAATGGTAGTCTTTAAAAGTCTTTGACAGGTTTGCAAGCACTAGCTGACCTCCACAGAAGATTTTTATTAAACAATTTACAGGTAAGCCCTCCAATGCATGCAGATGAAGACCTTCAATGAAACACACAAGATGACCTTAATCCAATTTCAGTTATTCGCCCGAACAGTAGTAATACAACAGGAAATGTATCTTACTGTGTAAAACCAAAATTTAACGATGGGAGCATTGTAGAACTCATAAATCTTTCTTCCAACAGGGATCAGTCTGTGCCTGCTCTGAACTTCCTCTTCCTCTTTCTTTCTTGAGGACTCTCCATTGCCTCGTCCCAGCATTGCCTACAAGAAAGGACATTTTTGTGTTTCTTTCCTTATGAAAGACAAATTAAGCTATTTTTTTAAATTTCAAAAGGAAACTATTCAAAACTTCTCTGATTTCTTGATCTTTAGACAAAATCAGGTGACCATAGCTAGCTAGGTGGAAAATGCTTTGTTCTCAAATTATCTTTTTTTGCAGGGAAGCTGCTGTTTAATACTTTGCAAACTGAAAAAGCAATGCTTTGGCAACAACTGTCAGCACCAGTGTGAAATCCTTGACTGGTGAGCAAAAAATGAGATGTGGAGAACATTTTTTCCTTTTGCTGTATGAACAGCAAAATTTTTACCTGACAACAGCTTTTTGTGGTGTACTTTTATACAATAAACAGATGCACACAGAAAACAGATACGTTTTGGTTTTAAACAAAGAGAAGTTCGTAAGGCTGAGACTGAGAGAGAACAACAAGGGGAAAGATGAGTTGGCAGTTGCTGGACCGGAAGCAATGAAGCCAGTGACTCTTTTTACGTTGATCACTGGATCTGTTGCAGGCGATGATCCCGCAGTGAACTTAACACGATTGCAGAGGGCTGACCTGCAGAGTTCACTGCGGCATTAAGGCCTCAGATTGAAAGATCCTTCTGCATGATTGTAGCTTCTTCCATAATGAAGTTCCAGACTGCTCATGCACTGCCTCTGTTAGGCTTGATCTTACTGTTACCATTGTAATTCAGGCTCCCTGAAGAGCTATGCTGAGCTCCAGAAACACATAAGAAGCTTTCAGCTATAAGTGCAAACCTACCAGGCAAAAGATGGTAATATTTTGTTTACTCTTAACTTCTGCTGCAGAGGGGTGGAAGGAGTGACTAAACTATATACTCACTGAAGTTAATGCTTAAAAAAGGTGTCCTTTGCATTTAGAGTGCAGTGTGATCTATGAAATGTTTTTTTCTGAAAAAATTATTTGGTGAACAGTGGAGTAAGAGTGGCTTTTAGGTCACTGTGCCCTGAGCAAGTTCTCACTATTTAGTTTGTGGCAGCACCTCTGGCAGCTCTCTTGCATATGAAAGCAATTGCAAGAATTGAGATACAACTGTCCTATCTAAGCATGCAGTGATTGCACCACGATGCTTTTATTTAAATGCTTCTATAATGTTTTTCTACAAGTTGATCAAAGCACTTTTGTACTTTCATGTTAACTGAAGCAAACTTTCACCATCCCTGAAGATAACATTCTTCTCATCTGCAACTTAAAAACGTGGAAAACTAAGCCTCTAAAGAGAACAATTAGATGCCAGACATATTGTCTTTCAATTAAGAGGTCCTTCTTTTATCTGTCTCTGTGCTCTCTGATTCAACAGGGTGTTCAGCACATACTTAACTAATCGGCTTCAGATGAGGTATTTGATCTGGTTCTAGTGCCCTGCAGGAAGAGGAGATGCACTCCTCACATATTTAAAAGTAAGAATCACAATCTTTCCTTTTCTTCCTTTTTCTAGGTCTCATGTGGAGCTTATTCATATAGGTGTTTGGTCCTGTAAAATAGTAATTTGTAATGATAAACTGACGATGAATTTTTTTTTTCTTTCAGTCACTGTAGACATTGGTAACATTATTAGGAGCGTGTATGGTCCTAAATGGCTCCTACTTAATATTTCTCTTAATTTCATTTATGCAGTTATTTTTTTCCTCTGGTGTTATTACTTTCCACGTGGTCCCTTATGTTCTGGAATTTGACTATGCACAGATGTTGCCCTGCACATTTTTAATAAAATAGAACAAAGATTCAGGATGCTAATATACTGTACTGAAACTAACCTGCTGAGAACCTCTCAAAACTGTAGCCTGCTTTGATGAAGTTACCTATTTCCTTTACCTTTTTATGCCTGCAGATTTCTAAGTTCATTGCCATAAATGTAGATAAAACAATGCATATTAAAAAATTAAATGTACCTCCTGGTGATTCTCACAGAGCACATAAAACCCCTTAAAAGTCCACCAAGAGCTCCATATAAAAGGAAGATGAAGTGGTTGTTAAGCAGAGGAGAAGAGTTCTTATTAAATAAGCAGGTAGTCTGCAAGAACATGAGACTTACTGAACATAAATATAGCAGCAGAGATTACGCAGCCTTCACAGAACCCCAGGTATCATTACCCGAAAGTCTGCAAACCCAAAGTGATTCCCTCATCTATATCAGGGATTTTTTATTTGGGAAGAAAAGTGGAACATGACCTGAATGCTTTGGGAAAATTATAGCCCAAGAAAGCACTAATTTCTTTGCTTCTCCCTGCCTCCTGATGCTGTTTTAGGGAAAGCCGCCATCTGGTGCTACAGTTTCCTGTAGCTTTTCCCAAGGCTTTGGCTCTGCTGTCCTCTGGTGCTCAGGAATTTTGCAGCAGAGTGAAAATGAATGCTGTCAGCTTTAGCAAATGAGCAGTGCCATGCTTTAGTGAAAGACATTTTACAGAATTTAAATCCTCCACAATTTTACAAATTTACTAATTCTGAGACACCCTTATCTCTCACTGGAATCAGTGAGTTATGGACGTTTTTAGGAGAATGGTCTTTCAGTACCTGGATTTATGCTTTAAGCTCATGGATGCTGATTTCCTGTTTGTTATTGCTTTCTTGTTGACAATGATGCTGTGATTTTATGTTGTTATAATTATTTTTGAATTAATTGTATCACATAATACTAACTTCTCCCTTCCCCCATGCTACAGATGGGGAATTGCTCTGAGATGGCTGGGGATTAGATTTGACCTGATGTCCCCGACTGTTAATTATATCACAGTATTAACAAACTGAGAAGCCTCCCCATTAGAAACATACAGAAATAACCTAAGTGACTGTGCTAACAGAATAGCTGCAATGCTGAATGTGAACAAATGTGTTTTCACTTGGAGGGGGAAGCAATAGGGTGGGAATAACTCAAGACACTGCTCTGTGTGGGCGGCATCTCTTTCTCTAATACACAATTTTGTCCATGATTCACCATGAGTCATGCAAGGTAAGCCTGACAGCAGCTCAACTACATTGTAAAGTACAGTACAACTGCATCATTTTAGCCTGAGGGGATTGATGTGAGCATAGTTTTTACATGGAGATTTTTCTAATCAGGATTCTGGTTTTTTTGGGGGGGTTGTTTTTTTTTTTTCCCCCCACATTTTGCTTTATATAATTGAGGACTGTTCACTGATAGGTAACCAGGACAGTTTTGGGTTGTGCATTTCTGCATTCATATATATGAATATATATTAATATAGTAATGATTCTATAATATATTTATCTGTTTTATAATTAAATAATGGGGATTTCAGTCCTGCTAGAATTATCATAGGCTCTTCAAATTTTATCCTTAGTGAAATCTACATGCCACATATAGACTTATCCCACATTCACACAGAAACAGTACAGAGCTGGGTGGATATACTATACTTCTCTCTGCACACCCCATTATATCCTGTGCTATGCATGGAAATGCTGCCTCCACAGTAGTTGCTCTAAGGTTACCATTCTCGGCCTTGAAATACCTTGAAATACTGGTAGGAAAAAAGGCTTAATGCCTTCAAGTTACAGGTGTGTAAAATTGGATTTTGCCTGTGCTCAGTGGTTCTTTAAGGCAAAATCAGAGGGGCAGGGCTAAAGTACCAGGAACTCAGTCATCCTGGCTGCTGAGCACAGCGAAGGGCACAGGGAGTGCCAGGGCAGTTGTGTGTGGTGTTATGAGGGGTTTCCAAACCCTCAGAGAAACAGAGGCAGATTCCTTCTTATGCAGAGCGCCAGAGCTTCTGCCTCATGACCACCAGCAGTGTCTCCCACTGTTGTTTTCCACAGGAGCTGAAGGGGTGCCTTGCTGCTGGCATGTGAGATGCTGCGAGCACTGGCCCCCACTGGGTTGGGTGAGATGGGCCAGGGGCGCAAAGACACTAGTCTTGAACCCTCCCTACCTTAAAGAACTGTATTTTTAGCGGTATGATACTCGGTTAGTTCTTGCCATGGAGAAAAGGCTAAGCATACATACTACAGATGAGATAATGTGAGCTCAGAGGCCAACATAACTAGCTTTGCTGCTGCTGAAAGTCCTAACTCAGACTCTTAGTGCTGCCCATGGAAGTTCAAACTTCCTATCTGATGTGGAAAATAGGAACAAAATGAGCAAAACAACAACTGAAACATCTTCTAAAGGACTTAGATGAGTTATTCTGTGTTCTGAAATAAGACTGTTTACTGGAGAACTCTAATACCCAAACAATAAGACACTGAATAGGGATAGGGGTGCTCCTAGTTACAGTTTCCAGAATCAGTGTTATTTTGCGAGGAAGGTAGACTGCTGGGGTTTCTGACTGACCTAAATACCAGCAACTAATTAAGGCCCTGGTCAGGATGTTGTACAAATACAAAATGTCCCTGGCCTTTAGACTTTAGTACTCTTCTACTCTTCTACGTCTAATATTTGGGATTAATGACTGGCAGCTCCATGCATAAATTGTGGTTAAATTCCTTGGTGCTGAGGTATTGGTGATAAGAGCAGTATTCAAGTGTGGTTTTGTGAGTAGCTGCTGTAAGGAAAGTCTGTTGCCTAGCATCTAGGTGTTAAAGAAATGTGTGCCCAGCACTCTCATATATCTGTTATGAAGTTAAAAGCAGGTGTGAGTAACAAGTAGTTTACAGTGAATAAACACTACATCTTTTTAGTATATCCAAATGTTCAGCTACCCACTGGATCCTCTGAGAGGAGCATAAAACAAGTACATACTTGTGCGCAAATGAGGTGTAAAACAGTGCAAAAATCACTGTGGCTCTGTACCTCACCCACTCTGCACAAGTGCAGTCCAGAGGAAGAAACTGACTCTTTGGGCCTATCATTAGTCACCTGGGCTTAGCGGTGCAGGACCTGCAAGACCTCATGAGAAATCAGTGAACAGACCTTGACTAGATGTGATCTACTTATCTTAGCAGTACTTTTATAAAAATGCATATGGGTGTAATATTATAGGAACACAGAGACTTGAGAAGTATTCATTGGGAATGATTAAAAACAGAGTTAGGCAGATTGTTTGGCTGATACGTTACTTGCCAGAAATGGACTTTTGAGGTAATCCAAATGATTTTTAGTTCATCAATTTTGTTTGTTTAAGCTTTAAGCTGAACAAATCTCAGAAACCCAAACCATGGAAACATTTTGAAAATATTTTGAATAGTCATGTGCCAATTAAGTAAATTAATAAAAAAACCCTGTGGCAATCACAAAAAAACCCACAAAACCCAACCCCAAAACCCACCCCTATTTGTTTGTCCTGAAAGGAAAAAATGTGACGAAAAATATGCAGGTCATTCTGAATACAATATTCGCAAGGTTAGGGTGAGTGCCCAATCTATTGAGCCGGAGTTCAGCAATTGATTAAACATTTGTGATATCACATCACAATCAACTATTGATCTTCTTGAACTATGAATTAGGCATCCTTAATATAAGTGTGGCTAAAGGGAAACTTCAAAAAGGCACTTCCCAAACAGTCTTGCAGGCATCCTCTCATCAGTAGAGAAGAGACCCAACCTAACTTATGCCAGACCATTTGACTAAGGCTGGAACAATGCCAAAAGTCAATCTAAAATATTTTCTTGCATTCAAAACATGTCAGGTAGGAACACTCTCCCTGACACAGTGCCTGAAGGTGGCTAAGTATAACTGGCTATGGCATCTAACCAGAGAAATATATGCAAAGGTCTCTTCACTAGCAAATCAACTCTCCTCATCACTGAAGGGCACCTGAGTGACGAAGCTGTGTTAGAAGTCCTGCATCACGGTATAGATTATACGCAGAAATGTCAGCAAAGGTATACCAAATATATTGCTTGTAAACTTGCTGGACTCCACAGAAACAGTACTTATTTTATAGAAAAGGCTGTAAGTGTCTGAAACTTCACTAGAATGATGCATCAGATTTGAAGGTGTTAAGGGCAGAGTCAATGACAGGAAAGAGCAATAGGACTGTCAGCACATGAAAGGGAGAAGGGAGGGAACATCTAAGACTCGTCTGGAAAAGCAGGTCCAGTTCACACAACACTTCCTTGTAGCAGGAGTCAGAAGGTAAAAAGGAAACACAGTATTGTAGACAAGAAACCAGGAGCTGGGATAACTGCAGAGAGATGGAAATGACTTCCTCCCCAGATTTCTCCCCATTGCCAAGAAAAAGGCAGCTTGCAAAGTGCTTATTTGATCTGAATAGGCACTTCATAAGTGGATCAGAAGCCAGGGACAGTAAATTACAATTAATAGCTAATGAGCAGAGAATGGCCCATTGCGGCTATTCTGGCTACTGGTCCTTCCCAACGGCCAGGTTCTTGCCTGCAAACGGGTCCTGTAGGTGGGTCTTGTGGGCTGCTCCTTCGGCTTGCCTGCATATTGGGTCCTGTAGGCAGGTCCTTCTGCCTGCCTGCAGTCGGGGTCCTGTGGGCAGCTCCTGCTGTTTGCCTGTGGGAAACAGTCTGGTTTTTTTTTTTTTTTTAATTAACCAGGAAAATCCCTTTTACTTCTATGCCTCTGTCCTGACCTTTACCAGCTGGGGTTGAGTTTTAAGCCTTTCAAAGCCACCACAATCAAACCCAAACCAAAGCAAACCAAACTAAGCTAAGGCAGGTCTGATAGCTCATATGATAATTGCCCAAACTAAGAAGTGTCAAATGAGTCTGAGAACAAGAGACTGGAAGTCGGTGAGTTGTGTAGTTTTCAGAGCTTTAGCTATTTGATTCTCTTTGCGGTGCAAATTATTCCTCTAGGGCTCTGTTACTAATACAGACAAGTCCTTCCTTACATGATTCTGCTGAGCTGCAGAAGCTCTTAGTAAGGGCTGAGCTGTCTGGCTGCTTGTTAATGTCTTCAGTGGATTAAAAACTGCGTGTGTGTATGTGTAAGAGGCAATGACCACAAATTCATAAAGAATTTTGAAAAATGTTTCATCACTTTTCTTGCCTGTTTGAATGCTTACTTGCCCTCTAATGAAGTTAACCAAAAGAAAAAAAAATATTTTCTAGCTTCTATGAAACTTTGGGCATTTCCACCCAAAGGAAGACTTAGCAAGCTTCTCTTCTACAAGAGAGGCCCACTCATCTATCATGGCCAAGTGATTTCAAATCTGAAATCTCATGAATTTATTTCAGACAACGTGGCATCACGTTGATTCAAAATATAGAGGATACTACATCACAACATGATGCTTCAGCATCACCATGCACTGCTGCAACTTCAAGACACATTGACGCCAACTTGTCTGGTTTGAGTCCCACTGAAGAGAGGGGAGTATTGAGAGTGGTATCCTATTGTCTGCTAAATTTAGCCATCAGACAGCCTGCAATGCCCACAGAGGTGGTAATAACAAATTGACAGCACTGAGGCTGGTGATTTATTGTCAGCACTTACAGTGAGTTCCATGTCCTCCTCCTCTTTTTCTTTCACTGGCTTCTCCGGTTCCTCTGGCTCCTTCTCTTGAAGATGGATCTCATTGGCCTGGGACATGTAAGGCATATCATCCTTATTCTTGAACTCCAAGCTGAGGATTGAAGGAGGAAGTAGAATTCCTAGAATTACCTAAAGCAATAATAATGATAACAATAATCATCACAGTAAACAGATTACAATCATGATGGTTACTTAGTATCAAATAGACCACTCCCTCAGGACATTTAGGAAAAGAAAGATATGTGTGCATGGGAGTTTCTATGACAATAGAGTATTTGTTACTTGGGGTAATGTTTTCAGAGCTCCATAGCGAAACAAACCACGTAACTTCTATTAGCATTGCTGTGAGTGCTGTGGCTAATTGCCTCTCTTGAATATTTTATCTGCTTGCTCATCAGACGCATATTGTTACAAACCAGAATATATTTACAAAATATTACATAAGGTCAATGGCAGATGGGATCACAGGGCTGTTCAGACCTTGGACCTGCAAATTTCTGCATTTTACATAATAGACACTATCACTGTAAATTAAATGAATATCAGCGTAAATTAAAACAAGCAGTTTTGATTTCTACAGAGAGGGTTAATAGGTCTCAAGCTCTCTGCATCCATACCTAGTGCACACAGGTAGACAAGGTGCAAGCATGTATAGTTCTGAGGAGATAAGGCAAAGCCAGCAATAGCAAATGCTGATGTGCTTAGGTATGCAGCCCCTTAGTCTTTGCTTCAGTAACCTGGCAGTCACGTAGTGCTCATGTTAATGCCAGCTCTTTCTTTTCTGCCTTCCCTCTCTTATGGTGTGGGAGTGCAGAAGCCGTTAAAATTACCTTGTGTGGATATATGCAATGAACGATGCTTGGGGTTAAAGCAGTAGAGTAACTGAAGAGATATCATAATAATACAAAAAGAAGCAGCCTGTCAGTATTCATAAGCACAATAGCTTTTCCTGGTTATGCTGTAATCTCATGGAATATGATTTTGTTATAAATCTCTCCCTAAATGACAGTGAAACCAGATAGTTAGCTTGTTGGCAGGTCAGAGAGGATGACTGCTTGTGCTCATCATATTGACAGGCAGCACGTGTGTTGTTGAAACCATCCAAAGTACCGCAATTAGGAGCAGTTAGCGTGTATGAATGCTGTGCCCAGCCTCAGAAGAGCTGAGCACCAGGCTGCCTGCACTGCTCTTCCCAGGCTGGCAGCAAAAGGATGTGTCCAGGGAGAGAGGGTTATGGGCAGATGTGGCTTCCCAGAGAGGTTATTTTTAAGAACAGGCAAGATTAACAATTGCCTCTCCCATTGGCGCTATACATCCATGGCGAGACTCTATAAAGAATTACATTCAGCTTTCTTGCCATTTGCCAGTTTCAATGGGAGAAAATTGTTCATGTGAAATAATCCATGACTCACGCTCGCAAATTCATTTCTTTTCCATGCTGCCTCTTGCTCGTGTAGCCCGTAGCGTGCTTTAGCTTTAAACAGGCCCTGCTAATGAGCTTCAGTGAAATAAAACACAGACTAGAAACTGAGTCTGACTGAAATGGATCCTTGTGAAGCCGTGACATTACAAGAAGCTGAAAGGAAACCACGTCTGCTACCTTCAGTTCATTGTGAAAGAAAGGTCTATTTTATGGCTTAAGAGATGCATGCTGCAAAGAAGAAAGTATGCAGTGGATATGAGTTGCTGCACTGATCCCCATCTACCCAGGTTGAATATCTGCAAAGTCAAGCAGTCAGCAAGGCAGCAATCTCTCTGAAGGGCACTGGACCCATGAGTCGAGTTAGAAAAATAGGCAGTAAAGATGTCTCCAAATGTGGGAATGCTTTCTATCTGTAAGCAGAACAATATTTACGCACAGCTCCTGCAGGAGGATGATGAGAATGCTATCAGCCACTTATTCTCATCCATCACTGTCACTGGATTAGACCCAGTATGATAACGATGCACATACTCGTAAGCGTTCTTGCCATTACTGAACATCTCTTCCCACAGCAAAACAGCTGAGCGATTGCCACTTTTCACATGCACAATTAATGCAGGAGAGAGAACTGCTTCACTGAAAACATTTCTCAATCAACTGGGAGGAAGAGGCAATTCCTGTTTATGTGCTGATTGGTGAGTACTTTGGTGAAGGTGAAAGACGCCAGCCCATGGACACAAATTCACCTCCCAGAATTCACCTTCGTCAGTTAGCAGTTTTGCTAACCGTGGAAGTAAAGCTTAAACAGCTGTGAAAATTGAATTATCCTCTAGGTCCTCTAAGGTAGTCCCTTCAGGTCAGTCATCAGGAAGATTGGCAGGGGATTGCAAGAAAATTGGCCTCTTATGGGGAAGGTTGTTGGATCAGCACCTTTTACTAGCAGTTAATTCACTTACACATCCTTTTTCCTTATTTATCTTTAAAAACCTTGGCTAACTCCTCACGTATCCAGGCAGGGTGACATACTAACCTCCTGGCTCAATTCTTATTCTGATAACTCTCACTGTTGCCGGAGGGAGCTTTGAGAAAGATGATGAAAAAACTAGGTAAGGTGCTTTGAACTTGGGTTTGTGATAAACTCCCTTCTGAAAAACTGAGCACGGGAAGAATATACCCTGCTAAATGTCACTACAAATAAGCACCTGAAATATGGTTAATGGAGCCAATTATTACTGATTTGCTGTGAGCCCCGTCACCATTTATTAGAAATCCTCTGTTAATTTTATTTTAAAACAGTGCTGACCTTTAGGCCAGAATTTTTCCGCATCCGGAGGCGGCCCATCCACATGTCTGTGAGCAGCATTTGGCTGCAAGTGTGAGCAATGAAGTCCCTGTGCTTGGCTGCCACTGCGAGCTGCAGGCATGTGGCGTTGCTCCAGTTCTTCAGCTCATAGGTCAGCAGTTTCATTGCCAGTTGCTCATCCTGCTTGTATGACTGGTCCAACAGCTCCACCGCCAACTGGCCGAAGTCCCTGCAACAGAGGAACATTCGTTCATTCCCCTTAGCCCAAGCAGCCTGCTGCAGAAAACACCCCTCTGCAACCGACAGCCTCTGCAAGGGGGGCATCACCTTCCATCACGCAAATCGTGATGTTGACTGTACACACAGAAACCCACATTTTCAAATGTGAGTGGCTAATGGTAGGCATATAAATAAGTGCCCCAACTTAGCAGTGATGAGCACCCACACCTACCAGCTGTCTGCTCCCACCCGCCTGCCCACCTCCCTGACATTCTCTAGCTGAAATCCTCTGGTTATCTGCAGCTTAGAGGATTGCTTCTGTGCTGTTTGCTTATGGATTCACAGTCAAGTCTCCTGGAAAAAGGACTGTCCAACACCCTTTTTTAAATTCTGTGTCTCAGACTTTTAACATCAGGAAAGATTATTACGGAATGTAGTATCTTGGCTTGCTCACCTAAGCATGAGCTCTTGGTTAATTAACACTTCTGCCTGAATACTATATTCATCAGGATTTCAACAATTGTTCTGCTTGGGATGAACAGAACACCTTGAAAAAGCACAGAGGAAGGTTGCAGCCTGACTCTTGAGGGAGAACACATAGACAATGTAGATATTTCATTGCCTTCTTGACATGTTCTCATTTCAGAAATTATACTGCTAGCAACTGGCAGACAGGTTGTTTAAAAGCTTTTTAGATTTCCTCTAAAGGGACT